TTACACGCTCCAGATCCGTCCACATCGCACCCAGTTGCGTGACTGCATCCTTTCTCTTGGCTGCGTAGTATTCCATTGTGTTGACGTTCCACTGTTTTCTCAATCCACTCATGTTCATGTTTTATCCACTCACAACGCACTTGTGTTGTTTTCAAAGTTTGGTTATTGTGACTTAATGCTCCAACGAACCCAGCGGTGCAAAAGAAAAAAAAAAGTGTTTTTGACTGGACAGAAAGAAATTTTTTTTTTAAGTTTTTTGCATTTCAGGTATTTGATATATTTTATCAAGACCCTAGGATTGACAACGCTGTTCACAGGAGAATAGTTTCTACTGTGTTGCAACACTAGTCCTGCCACCAGTGGCATACAAAGTTGCAACGCCAATCTTGCCACCGAAGGCAGTTGTTAAATGTATTTGTACATATGTGTATATATATATTTTTATGCAGATACTGTGATTTATGAAGATGTTCATAGTACAGTTGTTTCAGGAATACAATGTTGCAACACCAATCCCACCACCTGTGGCCGTTATTAATGTATTTGTACATATGTCTGTATATATATATTTTTATGCAGATACTGTGATTTATGAAGATGTTCATAGTGCAATTGTTTGACGAATACAATGTTGCAACACCAATCCCACCACCTGTTGCAGTTGTTAATGTATTTGTACATATGTGTGTGTATATATATTTTTCTTATGAAGACACTCTCCTTTATTAAGGTATTTATAGTAGGATTGTTTCAGAAATACAAAGTTGCAACAGCAATCTTACTACCAAGGCAGTTGTTAATTTGTGTGTGTGTATATATGTATATATACACATATATATGGGTTTTTTTATGAAGACAATCTGATTTATTAAGCTGTTCATAGTAGATTTCTTTTAGGAATACAGTGTTGCGACATCAATCTTACCACCAGTGGCAGTTGTTAATGTGTTTGTACATATGCGTGTATATATATATTTTATATGAAGACACCCTGATTGATTAAGGTGTTCATAGTAGAATTGTTTATAAATACAATGTTGCAACAGCAACGTTACCACCAGTGGCAGCTGTGAATGTGTTTGTGCATATGTGTGTATATGTACATCCATGTTTTATGAAGACACTCTGATTTTTTAAGGTGTTCATAGTAGAACTGTTTCAGAAATACAATGTTGCAATACAAACCCCACCAGCAGTGGTAGTTGTTGATGTATTTGTACATATTTTTGTGTGTATATATATATATAATGGAGTCACTCTGATTTATGAAGGTGTTCATAGTAGAATTGTTTTAGGAATACAGTGTTGCAACACCAGTCTTACCACCAGTGGCAGTTGTCAATGTATACATATATATATATATATACATATGTATTTTTTATGAAGACTCTGTGATTTATTAAGGTGTCCATAGTAGATTTGTTTTAGGAATACAATGTTGCAACACCAATGTTGCCACCAATGGCAGTCGTTACTGTATTTGTACATATGCATGTATATATATATGAAGACACTCTATTAAGGTGTTCATAGTAGAATTGTTTTAGGAATACAATGTTGCAACACAAGTCCTACCACCAGTGGCAGCTGTGAAGGTATTTGTACACATGTGTGTGTGTGTATATATGTATATAATGTATATATATATATTATCAAGACATTCTGATTACTTAAGGTGTTCATGGTAGAATTGTTTTCGGAATACAATGTTGCAACACCAATGTTACCACCAGTGGCAGTTGTGAAGGTATTTGTACATATATGTGTATGTATATGTATATAATGTATATATATATTATCAAGGCATTCTGATTAATTAAGGTGTTCATGGTAGAATTGTTTTCGGAATACAATGTTGCAACACCAATGCTACCACCAGTGGCAGCTGTCAATGTATTTGTACATATGTGTGTGTACATACATATGTATATATTATGAAGACTTCTCACTTGTTACTCATCATCCCACTGATCATCAATTTGCTCGAGCAGGCGCCAGTAACGACTCCATTCATCCCTGTCCCAATGCCCTATTGGAGGGTCTTTCAGGGTCGGGGGAGTGAGACCCGTTATGGTCACTGTTTTTCGCAGATCGAACATGCCACGGGGAGCTTGCCAGGCTCTGCCCGTGCTGTACGTAATAACCCGAAACAGGCCAGGTTGGAAAGAGGAACCAGCCTACCCCCGGGGGCCCTCCACTGGGAGCTTCCCGGCTGGGATTGCGGGGTAAGAGGTACAGATTCCAGGACTTAGTTGGCCGGGCTCTAACGTACATCCCAGACTAGGTCCTCAAGGTGCTTCACCTTGTCTTTCTCTGTCTCGGTCTGTCTGTCTCTGTCTCTGTCTGTCTCTGTCTGTCTCTGTCTGTCTCTGTCTCTGTCTTTGACTGTCTGTCTCTGTCTCTGTCTGTCTCTGTCTGTCTGTCTCTGTCTCTCTCTGTCTCTGTCTCTGTCTGTCTCTGTCTCTGTTTCACTATCTGTCTCTCTGTCTCTCTCTGTCTCTGTCTGTCTGTCTCTGTCTGTCTCTGTCTCTGTCTGTCTGTCTCTGTCTCTGCCTCTGTCTCTGTCTCAGTCTCTCTGTCTCTGTCTCTGTCTGTCTCTGTCTCTGTCTCTGTCTCTGCCTCTGTCTCTGTCTGTCTCTGTCTGTCTGTCTCTGTCTCTGTCTCTGTCTCTGCCTCTGTCTCTGTCTTTGTCTGTCTCTGTCTGTCTCTGTCTGTCTCTGTCTCACTCTCTGTCTCTCTGTCTCTATCTGTCTGTCTCTATGTCTGTCTGTCTCTGTCTCTGTCTGTCTCTGTCTCTGCCTCTGTCTGTCTGTCTCTGTCTCTGCCTCTGTCTCTGTCTGTCTCTGTCTCTGTCTGTCTGTCTCTGTCTCACTCTCTGTCTCTCTGTCTCTGTCTGTCTGTCTCTGTCTCTGTCTGTCTGTCTGTCTCTGTCTCACTCTCTGTCTCTCTGTCTCTGTCTGTCTCTGTCTCTGTCTCTGTCTGTCTCTGTCTCTGTCTGTCTCTGTCTCTGTCTGTCTCTGCCTCTGTCTCTGTCTGTCTGTCTCTGTCTCTGCCTCTGTCTCTGCCTGTCTGTCTCTGTCTCTGTCTTTGTCTGTCTCTGTCTCTGTCTCACTCTCTGTCTCTCTCTCTCTGTCTCTCTCTCTGTCTCTGTCTCTCTCTCCTCCTCCCCCAGACACCGACAAACTTCGCAGGGGTCCCATCAGACCCCACCAACTCGCCAACAAGCTTCTTGGCGTGGCTGGCCCTTCCCCACGGTGGGGCTCCTGCCTCTTCCGTCCTAACAGCTCGCATCAAGACGGGGCTTCAGTGGAGTCCAGGCCCAACTCAATCAGCCTAAATCAATGGCTGAATCAATAGCAGGACTCCTACATTTTAAAACACACACACACACACACACACACACACACAAACACTGTGCTTGGGTCCTTCCCATCCTCCCTCCCCTCCCCCTGAGACCCTGGAGGTCACGCCCACAAACTTCAAACTACCTCCGGCTGTTACTTAAACTAATTAACGGGTGTGATTCAGGGACACACGAAGGAATCTCCGCTCAGGAATTATCTAAAATTATAGAATTCCAGGAGCACACAACATCTTACGCTCTTCACAACAAGCTAAACAAGGGAGAGCTGGAGGGATAGCCCAGCGGGGAGGGCGATTGCCTGACTCAAGGCTGCGGCCGACTTGGGTTCGAGTCCCGGCATCCCCTAGGGTCCCCTCTGAGCACCGCCAGGAGTGATTCCTGAGTGCAGAGCCAGGAGGAAGCCCTGAGCATGGCGGGGTGGGACCCAAAAAGAAATTAAAAAGGATTATCGGGATTATCTCTGGGTGGGTGGAAAAGGGCCAGTTCACTGTTGTCTGTTGCAGGGGTGGATGGTCGTGGGCGGGTGTATGGGGTCTGACGTGACTTCTGCAGTTTGTTGGTGTCTGGGGGAGAAAGTGTGAGACAGAGAGACAGAGACACAGAGAGAGACAGACACACAGCGAGAGACCTCTCATTGTCACAGTTTCCCAAGTTGGTTACTTACAAGGCAAATCTTTCAGGAACTCGGGATTCTGTGTTTGTAGTGAATCGCTTGAAAACAGGGTTAACAGGCAACAGTTTGTTGGTGTCTGGGGAAGAAAGTGTGAGAGAAAGAGAGACAGAGACAGAGACACAGAGACAGAGAAAGACACAGAGAGAGACAGAGGCACAGAGAGAGACCTCTCATTGTCACAGTTTCCCAAGTTGGTTTCCCAAGGCAAATCTTTCAGGAACTCGGGATTCTGTGTTTGTACTGAATCGCTTGAAAACAGGGTTAACAGGCAACAGTTTGTTGGTGTCTGGGGAAGAAAGTGTGAGAGAGAGAGAGACAGAGACAGAGACACAGAGACAGACAGAGACACAGAGAGAGACCTCTCATTGTCACAGTTTCCCAAGTTGGTTTCCCAAGGCAAATCTTTCAGGAACTCGGGAGATTCTGTGTTTGTAGTGAATCGCTTGAAAACAGGGTTAGCAGGCAACAGTGACGGCTCTGGTTGTGCTTGGGAGCCAAGCTGAGTCTTGGGGTGTTTGGGGAACGGAGTGGACGCAGTGGGCAGGAGTGAGAGCCGCACCCTGCAGAGGGCTTTGCCCAGGAGCCGGGCTACTGGGTTGCTGCCCCAACTCAGGGCTGGTCCCTTTGATGTCCCTGAGTGTCCCTGAGTCTCCCACGCCCGCCGCTGGTCTGATGCAGAGCTGCCTGGCGAGTGTGTCGGCCCCTTGGGTGTGGCGGCCGCCTCCCCCGCAACTGGGCCGGCCAGCGCCTCCGGGACTGTCCCGGGCAAGTGCACACTCGTTGTTGCCTGGGCTAGGAGAGTTGGCGGCATCTGTCCTGGCAGGGGGGGCGGCGGGCTGCCATTTGGCAAGGGCCGAGCGCAGGGACGCAGAGTTTCCAGACCTCGCCTCTTCCTCCTGGGGCGGGTGGGGCGTGCCTGGCTTGACTGGAGACTGGCCGGTGGCGGCAGCCAAGCCCACCACCATGGACGTCTGGGGTATTCTGACGGTTACGTCTCTGTGTCTCCTGCTGCGTGTGCGAGGTAAGAGGAGACCCCTCCCCGCCCCCCCGGGGTCTGCTGCTCAGAGGGGAGTCCCCAGTCCCTAATAGGCTGGGAGGTGTCCACCTGCATGCCTGGGCACTTCATGGTCAGTGCTTCACGAAAGCCGCATGCAGGGTTCTGTGGCCGGGCAGAGGGACAGGTTGGGCCAAGGTGCCAATTTGGAACCTGCAGTTAACTTGATCCAGGGAGCCTGCAGTTAACTCTATGCAGGCTGGCAGGAAGTCCAGGTCTGCAGGATGATTTGGGGGCGAGGGGGGTCTGCGGGAGTCTCGTTCTGGCAGGCGTCATCCACCTGTGCCCACCAGCCCCGGCCTCGTCACAGGTGGTCAGTGGCAGCTGTTGTCTGTTGCAGGGGAGGACGGTCGTGGGTGGGTGTGTGGGGTCTGACGTGACTTCTGCAGTTTGTTGGTGTCTGGGAGAGAAACTGAGAGAGAGAGAGACAGAGACAGAGACACAGAGAGAGACAGAGACAGAGAGACACAGAGAGAGACAGAGACACAGAGAGAGACCTCTCATTGTCACAGTTTCCCAAGTTGGTTACCTACAAGGCAAATCTTTCGGGAACTCGGGGGATTCTGTGTTTGTAGTGAATCGCTTGTGTTCCTATTTCCCCTACAGCCTTTTCATATTCTACTCTAGGGCCATCTGCTTTGCTTAGACACAGACAGAGACAGAAAGAGAGAGAGAGGGAGAGAGAGAGAGAGAGAGAAAGAGAGAGAGAAAGAGAGAGAGAGAGAAAGAGAGAGAGAGAGAGAGAGAGAGAGAGAGAGAGAGAGAGAGAGCTGGGCTGAGGTTGGTTTTCGTTGAGTCTACAGGACAGTGTTTCAAACACCTAAAAGTTTTTTGCTGGAAGGTCTCCACTCGGAATCTCTGTATGTTTCTCGGTCTCTGTCTCTCTCTGTCTCTCAGTGTCTCTGTCTCTCTCTGCATCTCTCTGTCTCTCTCTGTCTCTCTGCCTCTCTGTCTCTGTCTCTCTGCCTCTCTGCCTCTGTCTCTCTGCCTCTGTCTCTGTGTCTCTCTGAGTCTGTCTGCCTCTCTGCCTCTCTGTCTGTCTCTGTCTCTCTGTCTCTCTGTTTCTCTGTCTTTCTGTCTCTGTCTGCCTCTCTGGGTCTGTCTCTGTCTCTCTGTCTCTCTGTCTCTGTCTCTGTGTCTCTCTGTGTCTGTTTCTCTGCCTCTCTGTCTCTGTCTCTCTGTTTCTGTCTCTGTGTCTCTGTATCTCTGTCTCTCTGCCTCCCTCTCTGTCTCTGTCTCTCTGTCTCTGTCTCTGCCTCTCTCTGTGTCTCTCTGCCTCTCTGTCTCTGTCTCTGCCTCTCTCTCTCTCTCTGTCTCTCTCTCTCTCTGTCTCCCTCTGTCATGCTGCCCTAGTGTCCAGTGGCTGGATTCTTGAGCCCACCGTGCAAACACATTCCCGCCCCGACTGTCACAGTTCCATCCAGACCCCCCGGGTGGGGGATTTGTAGTGGGCCAGTGCCTAGTGCAGGAAAGACCATCCCCCCCATCCTCCGTGCAGAGCCAGCCCCCCACACCATCTCTGCATCCCCACCCCCAACCCCCCAGAGGGATGCCCTAGCAGGGCTGGAATCACTTATTTCCCCTGCATCCTCCTTGGAGTGGCATTTCCTGTTTATCTGGTAAAGGCGGTTCCCTCCTTTGGGCGGGTGCTGGCGGCTGTTTCGCCAACCCAGGCGAGAGTTACACCCAGGCACGGGACACGTTGGTGGCTTCCAACGCCTTCTAGAAAACAGGGGTGCCACGCCGGGGGAGGGTGGGGAGGAAACGGAGGGGGGAACATTGCTTGTTCAGACCTTTGCATCGGCTGGGAAATTTGTACTGTGACTGCAGTGAAGTGGATAAGGACTGAGTTTCCCTGCACCCCGGAGCAGAAGAAGGCTCTGTTCTCCGAGGACTGCACTGACTCACTGAGCGTTCTAAAGGTGGTTCTGCAGGCTGGAGCGATAGCACAGTGGGGAGGACATTGGCCTGGCACGCGGCCGACCCGGGTTCGATTCCCAGCATCCCCTAGGGTCCCCCGAGCACCGCCAGGAGTCGTTCCTGAGTGCGTGAGCCAGGAGTCACTCCTGTGCATCGCCGGGTGGGACCCAAAAAGCAAAAAATAAAAATAAAAATAATAATAAAGGTGGTTCGCCTGGTGGGCTTACGGGAGGACAAAAACCTGGGGACCCTCCTGCTGCCCAGAAGGGGAAAGGGAACGAATTCTATGCTGGTGACATCCTTTCTGTCACGCCAGGCACGCTTCCGTTTCCTGGGTGTCCCCTGTGGGTCCCCAGGAGGGGAGAGGAGGTGGCATCCTCGTGGCCACCAAGTGGCTGCCATTGTACCAGCCCTCTCTGACCGCGCCCCGTGTCTCCTTCCTCAGGCCTGGCGGTGGGTGGGAGGTTGAGTGTTGGCAGCTGAGACTGGGTCCTCAGGACAGGCTCGATTTTGCCTCTGGGACCTTGGGTGCCTGGTCACCTCGGGGAGGGGAGGGGAGGGCAGGGGAGGCCTTTTCCAGGGGCCGGGAAACCGAGGCACAAAAGCTCCCCCCTCTGCTAAGAGTCACGGAAGGGGTGAGCTCGGGGAAGGATGAGAGGAGAAGTGAGATTTGCAGCCGAGTCTGTGTCCTGGGCTGGAGCGTGAAATTCGCAAGCAACCCCGACCTCCCTCCGGACCTGGGTCAGAGGCTTCAAAGGCTCTGCCCAGCTCTGCCTACAGCCCATAAAAGGCTTGTAAAGGACCGGCGTCTCGGTGTGTCCAGGGCGTGATCGATTGAGGCCGTAGTCTTTTCATCTGGGCTTCTTTTCTCACGACGGGGCGTGGGGAGGTCACAGCTCCGTGTGGGGGGAAGGTTTTGCCGAACGTACTGTGTCACATCTGGGGGCAGAGGGCTGCCTGGCAGGAAGAGAGGGACAGAAGTGGGTCTTGGTCAGGGCCAGGAAGATTGCCCCATGGTTGGCAGCCCGCCTCGTGAGCTGGGGGAGAAGGCGGTTGGGATGGAGAAGGGGTCACTGAGTCAGGGGGGGGGTTGGAGGGGTCGCTCGAGATGGGAGATGTGTCCTGAGAGTAGATCAAGGGCCCAAAGTGATCGGTATTGGATCGGTATTGATCTGTATTGATCTCAGTATCTGTATCGCAAACCATGATGCTCCAAGGTAGAGAGAGAGACTGGGGGGGAGATTGTCTGACATGGAGGTGGGGGAGGGTGGGATAGGGGGGATACTGGGGACATTGGGAGTGGGGAATGGGCACTGGTGGAGAGATGCAGGTTCCCTCATGGTACGACTGAAACTCAAACATGAAAGCTTGGTAACTGCATCTGATGGTGATTCAATAGAATGAAATAACATAATCGGAGACAGACACCCAAGCACAGTCAAGACCAGGGCCAGGAGGATTGCCCCATGGTTGGACGTCGGCCTCATGACCGGAGGGAGAAGGCAGCTGGGACGGAGAAAGGGTCACTGAGTGAGGGTTGGAGGGGTCACTTGGGATGGGAGGTGTGTCCTGAGAGTAGATCAAGGACCCAACGTGATCGGTATTGGATCGGTATTGATCTGTATTGATCTCAGCATCTGTATTGCAAACCATCATGCCCCAAAGGAGAGAGAGAGAGAGTCTGGGGGAGATTGTCTGCCATGGAGGCAGGGGGAGGGTGGGATGGGGGGAGGATACTGGAAACATTGGTGTTGGGGAATGGGCACTGGTAGAAAAATGGGGGTTCCATCATGGTATGACTTGAAACTCAAACAGGAAAGTTTGTAACTGTGTCTCACAGTGATTCAATATAGTAAAATAACATAATAGGAGACGGACACTCAAGGACAGTAGAGACCAGGGCCAGGAAGATTGCTCCATGGTTGGCAGCCGCCTCCTGAGCTGGGGGAGAAGGAGGCTGGGATGGAGAAGAGGTCACTTAGTCAGGGAGGGTTGGATTGATCGCTTGGGATGGGAGGTGTGTGCTGAGAGTAGATCAAGGACCCAACGTGATCAGTATTGGATCTGTATCGATCTGCATTGATCTCAGTATCTGTATTGCAAACCGTGATGCCCCAAAGGAGAGAGAGAGTCTGGGGGAGATTTTGTCTGCCCTGGAGGCAGGGGGAGGGTGGGATTGGGGGGATACTGGGGACATTGGTGGTGGGAAATGGGCACTGGTGGAGGGATGGTGATTCCAACATTGTATGACTGAAACCCAACCATGAAAGTTAGTAACTGTAGCCTCACGGTGATTCAATCACTTAATCACTTAACTTCCCGTTAGTCGTCGATTTGCTCGAGCGGGCGCCAGTAACGTCCCCATTTGTCCCTGTCACGTGCTAGTGTAGCCCAATGGCATCTGTTCGCTCCGGGAACATGAAGGGCCTCAAACTGATCGTTCGTGATCTTGACGAAGAAGTCTGACCATCTGGAAGGTGGGCGGCCACGCGGTCTCTTGACATCCCGTGGAATCCAGTCGGTAACAGCTCTAGTCCAGCGGTCGTCTTTAAATCTCATTACGTGACCAGCCCATCTGATTTTTGACACCTTGGCAAATGAGACAGCGTCCCTGATCCTTGATCGTCGACGGATGTCAGAACTCCGGATTCGTTCTCTCATTTGAGTGAAACGTGATATTCCAAGCATAGCTCTTTCTATTCTTCTTTGGGAGACCTGAATGGCGTTCTCATCTTGTTTGCGTAGGGCCCAGGTCTCTGAGGCATATGTTAATGCAGGAAGAACAGTGGAATCAAAGAGATGTGCCCAGAGCCGGAGGTTCTTCGTCCTCTCAATAAAACAAATTTTAAAAAAATAAGTGGATCTTGGGACAGATAAGAGAAACGAACAGAGACAGGCGTGGATCTCGCCAGTGACACCGCCTGGAGTTGGGGTCATGGGGTCCAGTGACGCGTTAGGATGGGTGGCCATCTGCTGCCCTTGTTTCCCTACCGATTGCATCTTGCATGCTTTATCTATGCACCTGACGTTCATTCTTTTACCCGTGTTCTATCTGTGCAAGATCCCTACGTCCATCGTCCACCCACCACCCATCCTTCTATCTATCCATCGCCTTCCCATCACCCAGCCACCAACCCATTCGTCTGTCCAACCATTCATTCACCCTTCCAGCCATTATCCATCCATGGCCCCTCCATTTATGTATCTGAATGTCTATGCACCACTCATAGGCCCATCCATCATTTGCCCAATATCTTTCCACTTATTGATCTACACAATCTTTTTCTTTCTGCTTCTTGGGTCACACGCGACGATGCCCAATGGTTACTCCTGGCTTTGAACTCAGGAATGACTCCTGGCGGTGCTCAGGGGGACCCTAGGGGATGCTGTGAATCGAACCTGGGTCGGCCACGTGCAAGGCAAAGGCCCTCCCCGTTGTGCTATTGTTCCAGCCCCTACACACTCTTTTATCCAACATGCGTCTACCCATCCATCTGTCCGTGCATGCCTTCATCCACCTTGTGTTCATGATTTATCCACCCATCCATCCATCCACTAATAGCCAGGTGTTGGTAATCTATTCTCTATCCAGCTCTATATTCATATATCCTTACCCATTATCTATCCATCCACCAACAATCCTTCAATGTATCCACTCACCATCCATCACCCAACTACCAGTCCATCCATCCCGCCATCCCTCCATCCATCCATCACCCATTTACCAATGCATTCATCAATTAATCAATCCATCCATTCACCATCCAGGCACTCACCTACCAATCCCAACATCAATCCATCGATCCATCCATCACCCATCTACCAATTCATCCGTCCATCCATCCATCCACCCATCCATCCATCCATTCATCCTTCCATCCATTCATCCATCCATCTATTCATCACCAATCTACCACTCCATTCATCATCATCCATCCCTCCATCCATCCCTCCATCCATCCATCACCCATTTACCAATACATTCATCAATTAATCAGTCCATCCATTCACCATCCAGTCACCTACCAATCCCATTCATCAATCCATCGATCTATCCATCACCCATCTACCAATTCATCAGTCCATCCATCCATCTACCCATCCATCATCTACCTACTAATCCATTCATCAATAAATGCATCCATCACCCATCGTTGGGTCTACCAATCCACTCATCAATACATCCATTCATCATCCAACTACCAATCAATTTATGACTCAATCTATCCATCCATCAGCACCTATAAAACCATCCATCCATCCATCCACCCATCCATCCACCCATCCATCCATCCATCCATTCATCCATCCATCCATCCATCCACCCATCCATCCACCCATCCATCCATCCATCCATTCATCCATCCATCCATCCATCCATCCATCCAACCATTCATTCATCCATCCATCCATTATTCCATCCATCTTCCCATCACCCACCTACCACTCCATTCATCAATAAATCCATTCAATGCATCACCCATCTACTAATCCACTCATCCATCAATCCATCCATTCATCATCCAACTACCAATCCATTCATGACTCAATCCATCCGTCCATCACCACCTATAAACATCCATCCGTCCACCCATCCATCCACCCATCCATCCATCCATCAATGCACCCATCATCCATTCATCCATCCATTCATCCATCCATTCATCCATCCATTCATCCATCCATCTTTCCATCACCCATCTACCACTCCATTCATCAATAAATCCATTCAGTCCATCACCTATCTACCAATCCACTCATCCATCCATCCATTCATCATCCGACTACCAATCCATTCATGACTCAATCTATCCATCCATCACCACCTACAAATCCATCCATCCATCTATCCACTCATCCATCAATCCATCCATCAATCCATCACCCATCCACCCATCCACTCATGCACACATCCATCCTCCCTTTTCCCGCCCGAATCTTTAATTTACCTATCCATCCATCCACCTACCTCCCTGCTAATGCAGTTCACCATACATCAATTCTCGTTTTCTCATATACACATCAACTCCAAAATTCTCTCCTCACCTCCTTGAAAACCTGTTCCCTTGTACCAAGTCTCTGGCCCCCGGAAGACCAAGCAGTTCTGGCAGCTGCACTGGTATTTCTGAACCCTCACAACTGAGTGAATCAGAGGTTCGATCTGGCACTTCACATGTAGTGCAGTGTCCCTTTGTGCCAGGCAACCCAGACCACGTGGGAAGCTGGGATCTCGGCCGACACCCAGGCCTCGTCACTCCTCCCTCGCTGATTCTCCCTTGAGTCACCTTGCGCCCTGCTTGATCTCTCTATTCACTCTCTGCCTGTGTGAGTCTTCGAGTCGAACTGGGTCACTGGAGATGCCCTTTCTCACGGACCCGGCCCATCAGCAGGAAGGAACCCGCCCGAATCTTCAGCATCAGGATTCTCGGTTCTTGGGGTGCAGACTGGGGAGAAGAATCTCACTCCGTAGGTGGGTGAGGCACTTGGGGGAATCTGCCTTGGAAGCATCTCAGAGGGAGTTGCCCAGGCTGGAGCCAAAACCCCCCTCTGTCGTGATGAGTGCCCGGACATCTGGTCTACCTTGGCACTGAGCCTCCTGGATCCTGTCCCGGGTGTGTCCTCTCTGGGGATGCAAGTTGAGCCATGCCTCATGCAACAGTGTCAGGCCAGCTCGGACAGTCATGGGGAGAGGGGAGGGGAAGGGAAGGAAGGAAGGAAGGAAGGGAGGGAGGGAAGAAGGGACGGAGGGAAGGGGGGCCAGGAAATGTGAGTCAGACATGTTTTTATTTTATTTTATTTTTTTTTGCTTTTTGGGTCACACCCGGCGATGCGCAGGGGTTCCTCCTGGCTCTGCACTCAGGAATTACCCCTGGCGGTGCTCAGGGGACCTTAGGGGATGCTGGGAATTGAACCTGGGTCAGCCACGTGCAAGGCAAACGCCCTCCCCGCTGGGCTATCGCTCCAGCCCCTGAGTCAGACACTTTCAACTAGGCTTGACTTTGCCTTCCAGAGAGCAGGGGTTGGGGCCAGAGAGATGCAATGGTTAGGGTGCTTGCCTTGTTCATGGGTGATGGTGCTTCCATCCCCAGAATCCCATATGCTCATCAAAACCTCCCAGGACTGATCCCGGAGCACAGAGCCAGGAGTTCAGCCCTGTGCGCCAGTTGGGTCACAAATCACAAATCACAAATCATCCTGTTATTCGTCGATTGCCTCGAGCAGGCCCCAGTAACGTCTCCTTCATCCTAGCCCTGAGATTATATTCAAGGCTCTTTAGGAGAATGAGACCCATCATTGTTACTGGTATCTGGCATATTTGGTAGACCACGGGGAGTTTGCCAGACTCTGCCCTGTGGGCAGGCTACATTCCATAGCCTGCAAGTTTGTCCAGGAATGAGATAATAAGATGTCATAATAAGATCGTAAAGGTAAAGGCCCTCCCGTTGATCATCGATTTGCTTGAGCAGGCCCAGTACCGTCTCCATTGGAGACTTTGTTGTTACTGTGTCTGGCATATCGAATACGTCACGGGGAGCTTGCCAGGCTCTGCCGTGCGGGCGAGATACTCTCGGTAGCTTGCCAGGCTCTCCGAGAGGGGCGGAGGAATCGAACTCGGGTCGGCCATGTTGGCTGCGTGCAAGGCAGACGCCCTACCGCTGTGCTATCGCTCCAGCCTTGTACCTTTTACCTAATAAGATCAGCCGCCGTGTCCAGGGCTCTGTGGGGCGGGTCTGTCTGGGGGACGGCGTGAGGGCCTGGACATGGGACTGGGAGGACGTCCCCACTGTCCCATCCTAACGCCCTGCCTGGCCCCCTGCAGGTGATGGAGACTTCGATTTGGCGGACGCTCTTGATGACCACGACCCGGGTGAGTGCGGCCGTACTGAGCTGAGGATTTTGGCGGGGGTGTTGGCCGGGGTTTGGGGGCTGGAGCATCAGAGCACTGAAATGGGGACCCACTCCACGGTCTTGGGTCACACGTGTGCTTCTGTACGCCCCAAAAAGGGAAAACTCACGCGTGACTTCTACCGTCTGCGACCCCGGGGATAAGATGGGAGGCGTTGGGGAGTAACCCTCTGGGCTGCTCTCTCTGCAGTGCCCACAGGATTGTTTGCAAAATCGAATTAGCGTCGATTGTAGTTACACTGGGCTGGACCGATGGCACAGCATGGACGGCATTGGCCTGGCACGCGGCTGACCCCCGGGGTTCGATTCCTCCGTCCCTCTCGGATAGCCTCTAGGCCAGCTCCCGAGAGGATCCCGCCCGCCCGGCAGAGCCTGGCCAGCTCCACATGGTGGCGTCTCCGAGATGCCAAACACAGTCACAGCGAGTCTCACCGTGGAGACGTGCCTGGTGCCCGCTCGAGCCAGTTGATGAACAACGGGAGGACCGTGCTACAGAATTATTATTATTATTATTATTATTATTAATTATTATTATTTGGCTTTTGGGGTCCCATCCAGTGATGCTCAGGGGTCCCTCCTGGCTCTGCACTCAGGAATCACTCCTGGCGGTGCTCGGGGGACCCTCGGGGATGCTGGGAATCGAACCCGGGTCGGCCGCATGCCAGGCCAACGCCCTCCCTGCTGGGCTATCACTCCAGCCCCTCTTTCTTCCCTTCCCATCCTTCCTTCCTTCCTTCCACCCTTTCTGCCTCCCTCCCTCCCTCCCTTCCTTCCTTCCTTCCTTCCTTCCTTCCTTCCTTCCTCACTTCCTTCCTCCCTTCCACCCTTCCTTCCTTCATTCCTTCCTCTCTTCCACCCTTCCTTCCTTCTTTCCTTTCTTCCTCTCTTTCTTTCTCTCTCTTTTTCTTTTCTTTCTTTTTGGGTCCCACCTGGCGAGGCTCAGGGGTCCCTCCTAGCTCTGTACTCAGGAATGACTCCTGGCGGTGCTCGGGGGACCACATGGGATGCTGGGAATCGAACCCGGGTCAGCCGCATGCCAGGCCAACGCCCTCCCCGCTGGGCTATCACTCCAGCCCCTCTTTCTTCCCTTCCCATCCTTCCTTCCTTCCTTCCTTCCTTCCTTCCTTCCTTCCTTCCTCTCTTCCACCCTTCCTTCCTTCCTTCCTTTCCTCCTCTCTTTCTCTCTTTCTTTTTTTTCTTTTTTGGGTCCCACCTGGCGATGCTCAGGGGTCCCTCCTGACTCATGCACTCAGGAATGACTCCTGGCGGTGCTCGGGGGACCCTGTGGGATGCTGGGAATCGAACCCGGGTCAGCCACGCGCAAGGCCAACGTCCTCCCTGCTCGGCTATCCCTCCATCTCCTCCCAGCTGTGTTTGGGGGGGGCACATTCCTCGGCCAGGGATGGGCTGCCCCCGACCCCATCTCTCTGGGTGAACTTGCTGACTCTCACTGACGCGGGTTTCTGTCTCTGTTCACAGACCCCACCAAGAAGCCCAGCTCAGGTGAGTGACAAGAGGGACCAGGGGGGTCCTGGTGTCCCGACAGGGCGTTCGGGGCCAGGGTTGGTTGGCGGGAACATGTGAGGGTCCCGGGCAGGGCTGGGAAGAGGCTGATGAGGGAGAGAGAGAGCTCAGAGAGCAGGCCCAGGGTTAATGCCCCTAGGATATGGGAAGAGGGAAGGGAAGGGAAGGGAAGGGAAGGGAAGGGAAGGGAAGGGAAGGGAAGGGAAGGGAAGGGAAGGGAAGGGAAGGGAAGGGAAGGGAAGGGGAAGGGAAGGGAAGGGAGGGGAAGGGAGGGGAAGGGGAGGGGAGGGGAGGGGAGGGGAGGGGAGGGGAGAGGAGGGAGGGGAGGGAATACGGAAGGGAAGGGAAGGGGAGGGGAGGGAAGGGAAGGGAAGGGAGGGGAGGGGAGGGGAGGGGAGAGGAGAGGAGGGGAGGGGAGGGGAGAGGAGAGGAGGGGAGGGGAGGGGAGAGGAGAGGAGGGGAGGGGAGGGGAGGGGAGGGGAGGGGAGAGGAGAGGAGAGGAGAGGAGAGGAGAGACGGGGAGGGGAGGGGAGGGGAGGGGAGGAGAGGAGGGGAGAGGAGAGGAGAGGAGAGACGGGGAGGGGAGGGGAGGGGAGGGGAGGGGAGAGGAGAGGAGAGGAGGGGAGGGGAGGGGAGAGGAGAGGAGAGGGACAAGAGGAGAGGAGAGGAGAGGAGAGGAGAGGAGAGGAGAGGAGAGGAGAGGAGAGAGGAGAGGAGAGGAGAGGAGAGGAGAGGAGAGGAGAGGAGGGAGGGAAGGCAGGCAGGCAGGCAGGCAGGAAGGAAGGAAGGAAGGAAGGAAGGAAGGAAGGAAGGAAGGAGAGAGAGGGAGAGGAGAGGAGAGGAGAGGAGAGGAGAGGAGAGGAGAGGAGAGGAGAGGAGGGAGGGAAGGAAGGAAGGAAGGAAGGAAGGAAGGAAGGAAGGAAGGAAGGAGAGAGAGGGAGAGGAGAGGAGAGGAGAGGAGAGGAGAGGAGAGGAGAGGAGAGGAGAGGAGAGGAGAGGAGAGGAGAGGAGGGAGGGAAGGAAGGAAGGAAGGAAGGAAGGAAGGAAGGAAGGAAGGAGAGAGAGGGAGAGGAGAGGAGAGGAGGGGAGGGGAGGGGAGGGGAGGGAGGAGGGGAGAGGAGGGGAGAGGAGGGGAGTGGAGGGGAGAGGAGAGAAGAGGAGAGGAGGGGAGGGGAGGGGAGGGGAGGGGAGGGGAGGGGAGAAGGGAGGGGAAGGGAGGGGAGGGGAGGGGAGGGGAGGGAGGGATGGGTCGATGGATGGACGGACGGACGGATGAACTGGTAGATGTAGATGCCTCTGCACTCGGCCCCGTTCCCTGCGTGTGCGTGGGGCCGCGTGTCCCTGCGCTCCGTGTGTCTGTCGCTCTTGGGACCCCTCCGCCATGCACGCGTGTCTTCCTGCGTGTGTCTCTGCACGTGCCCTCGTGTTCGCGTCGGCCTCGGTGGTGCCCGGCTCCCTGGAAGCTCTCACTGGGGGAGATCTCCGAGGTGACGCCTCCCTCCATCCCCCAAGGCCTTTGGGTGGCCACTGGGCGTCCGGGCAGGAAACGAGGGTCTCGGGGCCAGCGATGTCCCACTTCGGGGGGCGGGGAGGGTCCTCCACACACCCCTGCAGGGCGAGCACGGTCTGGAGTGGACGTGGCGGCTGCTGGTGGACACAGGATGACCAGTGGCCGGCGGCCGGTCTGTCTGCAGTTGCTGTGAAGCCCTTCCTGCCGTGTGCAGTGACCGCTGACCAGCTGACTGGCCGAAACGCCCTGTGATGGGCCAGGTGGGGACTCTCATGTCTCGTGTCATGGGACCACCGGGCTCACGCCGTCCCCTTCTCCCCACAGGCCTCTACCCCAGCCTGCCCAAGCCGCAGCCCGGCCGGCCGGACACCAGCGGGAGTGAGTGTCCCTCCCCTGCCCCCTGGTCCCCGCTGACCCTCTCCCTCGGGGTCAGCTCCCGGCGGGCGTGGAGCTCCCTGGCCCTCCCTGACCACAGGCTGACGGACACCTCAGGCTTCACACGCCAGGGCCAGGAAGGGGCCGTTGGACCCCCTCGGGGGGCTGAGAATGGGGGTCCGGCACCCCAGGGCAGCACCCGGGCGAAACGGGGCCCTGGTGACCCCAACAGCACGTGGGAGACCCAACCACCAAGGCAGAGGGGGGTTAGGTGGGGGTCACGCCCATGGGTGCTCTCTGCATTCAGGGTGGGTTAGGGGGGCAGGGTTGGCAGCTGTGGGGAGGAGGGAAGGAACGGGAGAGGAAGGAAGGAAGGAAGGAAGGAAGGAAGGAAGGAAGGAAGGAAGGAAGGAAGGAAGGAAAGAAGGGAGGGAAGGAGGGAAGGGAAGGGAAAGGAAGGGAAGGAAAAGAAGGAAGGAAGGAAGGGAGGGAGGGAGGGAGGGAGGGGGAGGGAGGGAGGGGAAGGAAGGAAGGGTGGGAGGGAGGGAGGGAGAGAGAAAGAAAGAGAGGGGAAGGAAGGAAGAAAGAGAGAAGAAAGAGAGAAAGGTAAAAGGAAAGAAGGAAGGAAGGAAGGAAGAAAGGAAGGGAGGGAGGGAGGGAGGAAGGAAGGAAGGAAGGAAGGAAGGAAGGAAGGAAGGAAGGAAGGAGGGAAGAAAGGGAAGAAGAAAGGAAGGAAGGAGAAAAGGAAGGAGGAGAGAAGGGAAGGAAGGAAGGATGGAAAGAGGAAAGAAGTGAAGGAGAAAGGAAGGAAGGAGGGAGGGAGGAAGAGGGAGGGAAGGAAGGAAGGAAGGAAGGAAGGAAGGAAGGAAGGAAGGAAGGAAGGAAGGAAAAAGGGAAGGAAGGGGGGATGGTGGTGGGAGGGAGGAAAGGAGTGAATGAGGGAGGAAGGAGGGAAGGACGGAAAGGAGGGAAGAAGGAAGATAGGGAAGGAAGGAGAGAGGAAGGAAGGAAGGACAGAAGAGAGGAAGGAAGAAAGGAAGGAAGGAAGGAGTGGAAGGGAAGGAAGGAGGGAAGGACGGGAGAGAGAGGGAGAAAGTGAGGTATGAAGGGAAAGGAGACATGGAGGAAATAAGAAATAAAGAGAGAAGGAAGAGAGGCAAGAACGGTGAATAGCGGAAGGGAAGGAAGGAAGAATGAAGGGTGGGAAGAAAGAAGGGATCAAGGGGGAGGGTGGAGGGAAGGAAGGATGGGAGGGAGGGAGGGAGGGAGGGAGGGAGGGAGGAAAGAGAAAACAAAGATAAGGAAGGAAGGGAAGAAAATACAAAGAATGAAAGAAGGAAGGAAGGGAAAGAAGGAAGGAAGAAAAAGGAAGGAGGAAGGAAGAAAGAAGGGAAGGAAAAGGAAGGAGGAAGGAAGGAAGGAAGGAAAGAAGAAAGGAAGGAAGGAAGGAAAGAAGAAAGGAAGGAAGGAAGAAAAGGAAGAAGGAAGGAAACAGGAAGGAAGGAGGAAAGAAAGGAAAAGGAAGGAGGAAGGAAGGAAGGAAGGAAGGAAGGAAGGAAGGAAGGAAGGAAGGAAGAGAAGAAAGGAAGAGGAAGGAAGGATGAAAGGAAGAAAGGAAGGAAGGAGGGAAGGAGGGAGGGAGGGAGGGAGGGAGGGAGGAAGGAAGGAAGGAAGGAAGGAAGGAAGGAAGGAAGGAAGGAAGGAAGGAAGGAAGGGGGAAGGAGGGACGGAGGGAGGGAGGGAGGAAGAAAGGAAGGAAGGAAGGAAGGAAGGAAGGAAGGAAGGAAGGAAGAAAGGAAAGAAGAAAGGAAGGAAGGAAGGAAGGAAGGAAGGAAGGAAAGAAGAAAGGAAGGAAGGAAGGAAGGAAGGAAGGAAAGGAAGAAGGAAGGAAACAGGAAGGAAGGAGGAAAGAAAGGAAAAGGAAGGAGGAAGGAAGGAAGGAAGGAAGAGAAGAAAGGAAGAGGAAGGAAGGATGAAAGGAAGAAAGGAAGGAAGGAGGGAAGGAGGGAGGGAGGGAGGGAGGAAGGAAGGAAGGAAGGAAGGAAGGAAGGAAGGAAGGGGGAAGGAGGGACGGAGGGAGGGAGGGAGGAAGAAAGGAAGGAAGGAAGGAAGGAAGGAAGGAAGGAAGGAAGGAAAGAAGGAAAGAAGAAAGGAAGGAAGGAAGGAAGGAAGGAAACAGGAAGGAAGGAGGAAAGAAAGGAAAAGGAAGGAGGAAGGAAGGAAGGAAGGAAGAGAAGAAAGGAAGAGGAAGGAAGGATGAAAGGAAGAAAGGAAGGAAGGAGGGAAGGAGGGAGGGAGGGAGGGAGGAAGGAAGGAAGGAAGGAAGGAAGGAAGGAAGGAAGGAAGGAAGGAAGGGGGAAGGAGGGACGGAGGGAGGGAGGGAGGAAGAAAGGAAGGAAGGAAGGAAGGAAGGAAGGAAAGAAGGAAAGAAGAAAGGAAGGAAGGAAGGAAGGAAGGAAGGAAGGAAAGGAAGAAGGAAGGAAACAGGAAGGAAGGAGGAAAGAAAGGAAAAGGAAGGAGGAAGGAAGGAAGGAAGGAAGAGAAGAAAGGAAGAGGAAGGAAGGATGAAAGGAAGAAAGGAAGGAAGGAGGGAGGGAGGGAGGGAAGGAGGAAGGAAGGAAGGAAGGAAAGGAAGAGGAAGGAAGGATGGAGGGAAAAATGGAAGGAAGGAGGGAAGGAGGGAGGGAGGGAGGGAGGGTGTTGGCCCGAGTGTGCGGGTGCTGGGAGCAGAGTGCTTCCCTCGGATGGAGGCTTCACCCCTCCGCGTCCCGGGTGGGTTCGGGCCGTGTCCTCCTCCTCGTCGTCGTCCCTCCGTGACCCGCGTCCTCCCCCGCAGACATCTACCCCCCGCCCAGGCCGGCCCCCGCCCGCCCGCAGCCCGGAGGAGGCTCCGCCGGAGGAGGAGGAGGTGAGTGAGACCCTCGGGACTCGCGGAGGGATGCGGTGCTGCCGGGGGCCGAGCTCGGTGCCCTGGACACTCACGGGCTCCACCCTCGGCGTCCCGAGGGGCGTCCAGTCACTTCACTGCCCTTGGTCTCGGCGTGTGCAGTGCTCGTGGGTGTTGGGGTCCCCCAGGGTGGAGCCTCTTGGCCGGGGACTTGGAGTGGGAAGGGGAGGAAACGTGTAAAGACCTTGGTGGACAGACATTATTATTATTGTTGTTGTTGTTGTATTGAATCCCTGTGAGACACGGTTCCAAGGTTGTTCCTGATGGGGTCTCAGTCCCACAGTGTTCCAACTCCCGTCCCTTCAGCAGTGGATGTTTCCCATCACCGGTGTCCCCAGGTTCCCTCCCACCTCTGCCTGTCTCTGTGGCAGACACTCTCTGTGTCTCTGTGTCTCTCTGTATCTCTGTGTCTCTCTGTGTCTCTGTCTCTCTGTGTCTCTCTGTCTCTCCTTGTCTCTATCTCTCTCTGTGTCTCTCTGTGTCTCTGTCTCTCTGTGTCTCTGTGTCTCTCTCTCTGTCTCTGTCCACCTCTCGGTGTCCATCACTCCCTCTTTCTCTCTTCTTCTCTGTCCGTCTTCCTCTGTCTCTGTCTGTCCATCTCTCAGTCTCTGTCTGTCTCTCCCTCCCTCTCTCTGTCTCTGTTCCTCTTTCTCTGTCTCTTTCTGTCTCTGTCTCTCTGTCTCTCTCCATCTCTGTCTCTCTATCTCTGTCTCTGTCTGTCCATCTCTCCGTCTCTGTCCCTTCCTCTCTTCGTCTGTCCCTCTTCCTCTTTCTCTGTCTCTTTTTCCGTTTCTCCGTCTCTCTCTGTGTCTGTCTCCGTCTCTCTGTCTCTGTCTCTGCCTCTGCACACACACAAGGCATCCCTGGGACCTCACTCACTCCTGCCTCAGTGCTCGGTGATCACTCCTGACAAGGCTGGGGGTGACGGCCCGTGATGCCGGAAGTAGAACCCGGGTCCGCCCCGTGCCAAGCGTGCTCCCTAACCACTGTGCTATCTCTGGGGTCTCCCCACCACACACAGGTTATTACAATGACGCCCACGACGAGGGCCGCTACCCGCCCAGACCCCGGCCCCCGGCAGGTAGGTGCCATGGAGGGTTTCGCACCCGTTGGCGGTTCCCTGCTGGTGCTCAGGGGACCAGGCGCGAACCCGGATGGGCTCCATCTCTCTGTCTCTCTCTCTGTCTGTCTCTGTCTCTCTCTCTGTCTCTCTCTGTCTCTGTCTCTCCATCTCTGTCTCTCTCTGTCTCTGTCTCTCCATCTCTGTCTCTGTCTGTCCATCTCTCGGTCTCTGTCTGTCTCTCCCTCTCTCTTTTCGTCTCTGTCCCTCTTTCTCTTTCTCTGTCTCTGTCTGTCTCCATCTCTCTGTCTCTCTCTGTCTCTCTGTCTCTGTGTGTCTCCATCTCTGTCTCTCTCCGTCTCTGTCTCTCCATCTCTGTCTCTCTCTGTTCATCTCTCGGTCTCTGTCTGTCTCTCCCTCTCTCTCTTCATCTCTGTCCCTCTTTCTCTTTCTCTGTCTCTGTCTCTGTCTGTCTCCATCTCTCTGTCTCTCTCTGTCTTTGTCTCTCTCCATCTGTGTCTCTCTGTCTCTGTCTCTCCCTCTCTCTCTTTTTTACTCTGTCCATCTCTCGGTCTCTGTCTCTCTCTTTCTCTCTCTTTGTCTCTCCATTTCACTAACCACTGGGCCGCCTCTCCGGGACCCCGACAGAATCTTCTTTATGTATTTATGATTTTTTATTTTCCTCCAGGAACCGCACGTGGCCATGCTCAGGGCTTCCTCCTGGCTCTGTGCTGGGGGGGGGAGGGGTGGGTCCCTCCTGGTGGGGTTCGAGAGGCCCCGAGCGGGTTTGGGCTGAAACCCACCTTTGTTGGGGGAGAATTCTGTGTTCTTGCGTGTGGAGTGAATTCTGTGTTCTTGCGTGGGGGAGAATTCTGTGTTTTTGCATGTGTGAAGAATACTATGTTCTTGCGTGTGGGGAAATTCTGTGTTCTTGTGTATAGGGACAATTCTGTGTTTTGGCACATGGGGAAATTCTGTGTTTTGGCATGGGGGAGAATTCTGTGTTTTGGCATGGGGGGGCAGAAATCTGTGTTCTTGCATGTGGGGAGAATTCTGTGTTCTTGCATGTGGGGAGAATTCTGTGTTCTTGTGTGGAGGGAGAATTCTGTGTTCTTGCCTGTGCAGTGAATTCTGTGTTTTGGCGTGTGGGGAGAATTCTGTGTTCTTGCATGGGGGAGAATTCTGTATTCTTGTGTGGAGGGAGAATTCTGTGTTCTTGCCTGTGCAGTGAATTCTGTGTTTTGGCGTGTGCGGAGAATTCTGTGTTCTTGCATGGGGGAGAATTCTGTGTTCTTGCGTGTGGGGAGAATTCTGTATTTTTGTGTGGGGGGAGAAGTCTGTGTTTTGGCGTGTGGGGAGAATTCTGTGTTCTTGCATGGGGCGAGAAATTTGTGTTTTGGCGTGTGGGGAGAATTCTGTGTTTTTGTGTGGTGGGAGAATGCTATGTTTTTGCCTCTGCAGTGAATTCTGTGCTTTGGTGTGTGGGGAGAATCCTGTGTTCTTGCATGGGGAAGAATTCTGTTTTTGCGTGTGCAAAGAATATTCTGTTCTTGCGTGTGGGGAAATTCTGTGTCCTTGCGTGGGGGGAGAATTCTGTGTGCTTGCTTGTGGGGAGAATTCTCTGTGCTTGCTTGTGGAGAGAATTCTGTGTTTTTGTGGGGGGGGGGGAAGAATTCTGTGTTTTTTTGCGTGTGGGGAGAAATCTGTGTTCTTGCATGTGGGAAGAATTCTGTGTTCTTGCATGGGGGAGAATTCTGTGTTTTTGTGTGTGGCGTGGAAATTCTGTGTTCTTGCATGTGGGGAGAATGCAGGACAGACTTCTCTCATGGGGACAGGGACAGGAGAAGGATAACCACGTGAGCTTCTGAGCAGGTGTGTGTGTCTGTGTGTGTCCGAGTGTGTGTCTGTGTGACTGTGTCTGTGTGCCTATGTGTCTATGTCTGTCTGTGTATGGCTGTGTGTATCTGTGTCTGTGTGTCTGTGTGTGTCTGTGTATGTCTATGTCTCCTGTGTGTGTCTGTGTGTGTCTGTGTTGTGTATACATGTGTGTCCGTGTGTTGTGTGTGCTTGTGTGTGTCTGTGTATTGGTCTGTGTGTCTGTGTGTCTCTCGTCTCTGTCCCTGTGACTGCGCCTTGGGTCTGTCTGTGTCTCTGGCCGCCCCCGAGTGTCCCCAACCGCACACACGCTTGTCTCCACAGCGGGCGGCTTTGGCGGTGGCGGTGGCGGGAGCCACAACCCGGGATACGACGGATACGGCAACACGCACGGTAAGGTCACACTCGGGCCGGGCGCGGGGACGGGGACGCGGGCGGGGGTTCTTCTTTGTGTTTGTTCCCGTCACACACCCTGACCCCTGTGGGCTGTCAGCACCTAATCACACACACTCATACACAGCCACACACTGGCACACGCCAGCACATGAACATACTTGCACACACTCACACTCACATGCACAGTCGCAGACTCTAAAACCAAACACACGGACACACTCAGGCCCTCACACGCACACTGACACACTCGAACCCTCACCCACACTCACGCCCGCGACATACACACACACAGACACACACTTGCACAATCACACCCTCAGACTCACACTCACTCACACTGACACCCACAGACATACACTCACTCACACTCACGCACACTCACACCCACAGACATATCCTCACACACTCGCACAATCACACCCTCAGACTCAGACACTCACACACACACTTACAGACACTCACTCACACACACTCACGCACACCTGCAGACGTACACTCACATACATACACGCCCTCACACAATCACACCCTCAGACTCAGACACTCACGCACACACTCACAGACACACACTCACACACACTCACGCACACCTGCAGACGTACACTCACATACATACATGCCCTCACACAATCACACCCTTAGACTCAGACACTCACATGCACACACTCACAGACATACACTCACACACACTCACGCACACCTGCAGACGTACACTCACATACATACATGCCCTCACACAATCACACCCTTAGACTCAGACACTCACACGCACACACTCACAGACATACACTCACTCACACACACTCACGCACACCCGCAGACATACCCTCACACACATACACGCATTCTCACAATCACACCCTCAGACTCACACAGTCACACACACTGACACTCACAGACAGAGACTCACTCACAGACACGCACTTGCACAATCACATCCTCAGACTCACAGGCTCACACATGAACTGACGCTCACAGACGGACATTCACACACTCTCACACGCTCACACGCACACCGACACTCACAGACCTGCCCTCATACACAGCCATACTCACATACCCACAAAGACTCACATTCACACGCACACACACTCTCTCTCTCTCTCTCACATACACACCCACACGCCCCTCCACCGCCTTGCAAGGACCAGCAGTTCCCTGTGTCTGTCCTGACATCGCTACCGTCATCCTGGGCATCCACCCTGGCCAGTCTCGGAGACCAGCTGCCCCAAACCCGGCCCCTGTGGCCATCGGACCCCTGAGTCACACAAGCACCTTCCTGGGCTGGGGCCCAGCGGCCAGGGGCCGGGAGAAGGGGGACCCACCCCAGGGTCCTCCCTGACAATCCGTCCCCTCCTGACGCCCCCCACGGCCCACCCTGGGGTCCTGGGGGAGGAGGACCCACCCCAGGGCCCTCCTTGTCCCTCTGTCCCCTTCCGTGAGGGACAACGGGCGAGGCCCCCTCCCAAGCCTTGGGCAAGTCCCCTGTGTCCCTCCCCTGTCCACCCCGGTGACCGCGTGTGTCCTGCAGGAGGTGGGCGCCACAGACCCAATCCACACGGCAGCAGCTACGGTAACCGAGGGCGCCCGCCCTGCGTGTGTGCGGGACCCTCGTCCCCTCTGGCGTCCCTATAACTGCCCGTGTGGGGCCGAGGGGCCGCCCCTGGGGCCCCCCGGCTGGCTCTAACCCCACCGCCGCTGCCGCCCGCCTTGTGTGTCCGCTGCCGTGATGTGAAGAGCCGGTCGTGCGGGTCGCTCTGCGTGTGGGCCCCTGCGTGCGGGCGTGGCCGGGCACGCGTTGGGCTGCTGTCCACGTGTGGAGAGCCTGAGCGTGCGTGTGCGGTGATGTCTGTGAGTGGATTGTGCTCACCTGGGTGCCCGTGGTTCTGACACGCATGAATGACATGCGTCACACCTCTGTGTCTGCACGTGTGTTCACATATGTGTGGGTGGTGGTGGTGTGTTGTGTGCTCGTTGGTGTCTGTGTGTGGACGTATGTTCACGCGGTGGCATGTGTGTTTTCCATGTGTGTGCTTTGCCCGCACCCCCCATGGTTGTTCAAACATGCCTGCTCATGTGTGTTTGTGTGTGTGAAATGTATACAGACCTATTGTGCTCATGTGGTGTGTTCGGGTCCCTAGGGCTGCGTGAGCAACTGGGTGTGTGCATGCTTTGTGCACGTGTGTACTTGATCTGCACCCATGTACCTTCCCGTGATGTTTTTCTTGCCAATGTGCCTACCAGTGCTTCCATACGTGCCATGCATTGTACATGCATGTCTGTCTACATGCATGTTCATACATGTGTTGTGTTGCATGTTCATGTTTGTCCCTGTGTGTACTTGTGTTCACGTGGTGCATCTGGGTCCCTCTCGCTTCACACACAATTAGGTGTGTGTATGCTTTGTGCATGTGTGTTTGTACATGTATGTGTACTCAATCTGCACCCATGTACCTTCCTGTGACGTTTTTCTTGATAATGTGCCTACCAGTGTTTCCATACGTGACATGTCTTGTACATGTGTGTCTGTCTGCATGCATGTTCACATGTGTGTTGCATGTTGCATGTTCATGCATGTCCCTGTGTGTACTTGGGTTCATGTGGTGCATTTGGGTCCCTATAGCTGAGCACGCAAGCAACTGTGTGCATGTTTTGTGCATGTGTGTTTGTCCGTGTGTGTGCTCAATCTGCACCCACGTACCTTCCTGTGACGTTTTTCTTGCCAATGTGCCTATCATTGGCTCTATGCATGACACGCATTGCACATGCATGCCTACATGTCTACTCACATCTGTGTTGCGTGTTGCATGTTCATGCGTGTCCCTGTGTGTACTTGTGTTCACGTGGTACATTTGATTTGAGTCCCTCTAGCTGTGTACAATTGCGTGAGCAATTGAGTGTATGCATGCTTTGTGCACGTGTGTTCATACGTGTGTGTGCTTAATCTTCACCCATCTACCTTCCTGTGACATTTTTCTTGCCAATGTGCCTACCAGTGCTTCCATGCATGACACACATTGCACACGTATGTCTGCATGTGTGTTCACGTGTGTCCTGTATGTTGCATGTTCACGCTTGTCTCTGTGTGTACTTATGTTCGTGTGGTGCATTTGGGTCCCTCTAGCGTAAAATCAAGTGTGCGCACACTTCGTGCATGTGTGTGTTTGTACATGTGTGTACTTAACCTGCACACATGTACATGTGTGTACTTAACCTGCACACATGTACCTTCCTCTGACACTTTTCTTGGAAATGTGCCTTCCAGTGCTTTCATGTATGACATGCATCACACCTGTGTGTCTGCATGTGTGTTCACGTGTGTGTGGTGTGTTGCGTGTTCATGCATGTCTGTGTGTGTACTCATGTTCACGCTGTGCATGTGTGTCCCTCTAGCTGTGTACAACTGGGTGAGCGATCGGGTGTGTGCATGCTTTGTGTGCGTGTGTTCATACGTGTGTGTGTGTGCTTACTCTTCACCCGTGAACCTTCCGGCGACTTTTTCGTGCCTACCAGTGCTTTCATGCACAACACGCATCGCAGCTGTATGTCTTGCATGTGTATCAACATGTGTGTTGTGCATGCTGCATGATCATGTGTGTCCCTGTGTGTACAGGGGTATGTGTAGAGGGGGGAATGCCTGCCTGCATGTGCATCTGTGTCCTTGTGCACACACACACACACGGTCATTCCCTGCACCCATGTGTATGTGTGTGCTGGAGGGGGGACATGCAGGCATGCATGCGTGTATGCTCACTGCCGGGTACTGCAGAGGGTTGGGGATCTGCATGTGCACACGTGTCCGCCCCCGCATCATGGCATCCTGGCTTCTCAGGGCCCTGGGGTGGGGGCAGAGCCTACTTTTGAATCTTTGTCTCTGCTCTTCCCTCGCAGGAAACGGCTATTCCACCTACGGCGACCAGCACGGTAATTCCTGGGGCAGAATGGGAGCTCGGCACGCCCACCGGCGCGGGTGGGGGGTTGGTCTTGCACGTGGTCGACCGGGGTTCGATTCCCAGCATCCCACGGGGTCCCCCGAGCACTGCCAGGAGTCATTCCTGAGTGCAGAGCCAGGAGGAACCCCTGAGGATCGCCGGGTGTGACCCAAAAAACAAATAATAATAATAATAATAATAATAATAATAATGACACAGTGATCAAAAGAAATGACACAGTGATAACTGCAAACCGACAGGAAAGGGGAAATTTTATCACTCATATATGATTCTTGAAAACTCCAGGACTGGAGCAATAGCTCAGCGGGGAGGGCATTGGCCTGGCATGTGGCCGACCCAGGTTCGATTCCCAGCATCCCCTAGGGTCCCCCGAGCACCGCCAGGAGTCATTCCTGAGTGCAGAGCCAGGAGGAACCCCTGAGCATCGCTGGGTGTGACCCAAAAAGCAAAAAAAAAAAAAAGAATGTGTCACTGGGGGATCTCTCGAGGGACTCTCGGTCCAAGGGTTTTGCCCCTGGAGGAGGCACACTCATCGACTTGCACATTCACTCGTTCACTCACAATTCACTCACTCACTCACATTCACTCATTCATTCATTCACTCATTCACACATTCACTCATTCACTCACACATTCACACATTTACTTATTCACCTACTCACACATTCATTCCCTCACTCACACAGTCACTCATTCACTCACTCACACAGTCACTCATTCACTCACTCACACAGTCACTCATTCACTCACTCACACAGTCACTCATTCACTCACTCACACAGTCACTCATTCACTCATTCACATAGTCACTCATTCACTCACTCACACAGTCACTCATTCACTCACTCACACAGTCACTCATTCACTCACAATTCACTCATTCACTCACTCACACATTCACACATTTACTTATTCACTTACTCACACATTCACTCATTCACTCACTCACACATTCACTCATTCACTCACTCACACAGTCACTCATTCACTCATTCACACAGTCACTCATTCACTCACTCACACATTCACACATTTACTCACTCACACAGTCACTCATTCACTCACTCACACAGTCACTCATTCACTCACTCACACATTCACACATTTACTCACTCACACATTTACTCATTCACTCTCTCACACATTCACTCATTCACACATTCACTCATTCACTCACTCACACAGTCACTCATTCACTCATTCACACAGTCACTCATTCACTCACTCACACATTCACACATTTACTCACTCACACAGTCACTCATTCACTCACTCACACATTCACTCATTCACTCACTCACACAGTCACTCATTCACTCACAATTCACTCATTCACTCATTCACACAGTCACTCATTCACTCATTCACACAGTCACTCATTCACTCACTCACACAGTCACTCATTCACTCACTCACACAGTCACTCATTCACTCACTCACACGGTTACTCATTCACTCACTCACACAGTCACTCATTCACTCACAATTCACTCGTTCACTCAAACACACATTCATTCATTCACTCTTTTGCACATTCACTCATTCACTCATTCACCACACACTCTTTCACGAACACTGTCATCCCCTGACACATTGACACCCCCACTCACTGAGGCACACACCCACTCACTCATGCCCCCATTCATTCGTTCATGCCTGCACACACTCACACTTTGTCCTGCACCCATTCGCTCAGGCACACAGCCGTCCCTTCACACGCTCGCTCTTTCCATCTCCTGGCTCCCACAACGCCCAGCCTCAAGGAACTGTGTTGTAGAGAGAGGTCTGACCCCAGACACACCCGCAGAGCAGCAGGGGGCTGTGGATGTATGTCCCCAGCACGTACGGCTCATCGGTGGCTGCTGCTGTGATCCAGCCTCTTATCTCTGTGTCTGTGCGTGTGTGTGCATGTGTGGGTGTGCATGTGTGTGTGTGCCTGCATGTGTGCCTGTGTGTGTACCTGTGTGTCCCTGTGTGTGTGCATGTCTGTGTGTGTGCCTGTGTGTTTGAGTGTGTGTGCCTGTGTGTGCCTGTGTGTGCATGTCTGTGTGTGCCTGCGTGTGCTTGTCTGTGTGTGTGCCTGTGTGTGCCTGTGTGTGCGTGTCTGTGTGTGCTTGCATGTGCGCCTGTGTGTGCATGTCTGTGTGTGCCTGTGTGTGCTGTGTGCCTTTGTGTGCCTGTGTGCGCCTGTGTGTACATGTCTGTGTCCGTGTCTGTGTGTGCCTGTGTGTGCGCCTGTGTGTGTGCGCCTGAGTGTCCCTGCGTTTGCATGTGTGTGCTTATGTGTGTGTGCGTGTGTGCCTGTGTGTGCGTGCCTTTGTGTGACTGTGTGTGTGCCTGTGTGTGCCTGTGTGTGCCTGTGTGTCAGTGTGTGTGTGCATGTGTGTGCCTGTGTGTGCGTGTGTGTGCGTGCCTGTGTGTGTCTGTGTGTGCCTGTATGTGCGTGCCTGTGTGTCAGTGTGTGTGTGCATGTGTGTGCCTGTGTGTCAGTGTGTGTACGTGCCTGTGTCTGTGAGTGCCTGTGTGTGTGCCTGTGTGTGCCTGTATGTGCGTGCCTGTTTGTCAATGTGTGTGTGTGCATGTGTGTGCCTGTGTGTGCCTGTGTGTGTGCCTGTGTGTGCCTGTATGTGTGTGCGCATGTGTGTGCCTGTGTGTCAGTGTGTGTGTGCATGTGTGTGCCTGTGTGTGCGTGTGTGTGCGTGCCTGTGTGTGTCTGTGTGTGCCTGTATGTGCGTGCCTGTGTGTCAGTGTGTGTGTGCATGTGTGTGCCTGTGTGTGCGTGTGTGTACGTGCCTGTGTCTGTGAGTGCCTGTGTGTGTGCCTGTGTGTGCCTGTGTGTGCGTGCCTGTTTGTCAATGTGTGTGTGTGCATGTGTGTGCCTGTGTGTGCCTGCGTGTGTGTGCTTGTATGTGTACCTGTGTGCGTGTGCATGTCTGTGCATATGTGTGCCTGTGTGTGTGCATGTGTGTGTGTGTGTGTGTGTGTACTTCCGTCTTCCTCACTCTGCCTCCAGCTCCCTCTGCTGCCTGCTGGTCCTGACGCCCTGAATCTGCCCCCGTGTCCCCCCGGGAGGTCACTGTGTGCTTTTCCCGCCGTCCCGGGCTGCCCCAGATGCCCCCGGACGCCCCGTGCCCTCCCCACCCCTACACACACACACACACACACACACCACACATACACCCTGTCTTCCTCTCCCCCCCCCCCGCAGGCGGCAACACCGTGGCCAAAGTGGTGTCTCCGATCGTGTCCATGGTGGTGGTGACCCTGGTGGGGGCGGCCGTCGGCTACTACAACCGGAGGGGCAACTGCTGCAGGAGAAACAACGGCAAGTGTCGCCCCCCACAACCCCCCCGGGGGTCCCTTCCCCAGCCCCCAGCGCCCGCGAACACACAAACGCACAGACAAACACACAAACACACAAAGGCCCCTTTCACCCCAGCCCAGGGTGTTTCCCTCCCTCCGACGCACAAGAAAATCTTTTCTTCTCCTGCTGCTGAGTCGGCAGCGGCGGATGCTTTTGTGCGGGGACTCGGGAATGTTGAGTCGCGGGACGCGCGGAGGAGGGGCCACTGGGATCGGTTCGAGGGGGTCTCACTCCCCTCCCGACTCTGTGCTCAGGGATGACTCCTGGCTCGGTGCTCAGGGCTCACTCCTAGCTCTGTGCTCAGGGCTGACTTCCGACTCTGTGCTCAGGGCTGACTCCCACCTCTGTGCTCAGGGCCAACTCCCGGCTCTTTGCTCAGGGCTGGCACCCGGCTCGGTGCTCAGGGCTGACTCCTGGTCCTGTGCTCACAGATGACTCCTGGCTCTGTACTCACAGATGACTCTTGGCTCTGTGCTCAGTGCTGACTCCCAGCTCTGTGCTCAGGGCTGACTCCTGCCTCTGTGATCACAGATGACTCCTGGCTCTGTGCTCGCAGATGACTCCTAGCTCTGTGCTCAGGGCTGATTCCAGGGTCTGAGCTCAGGACTCACTGCTGGCTCTGTGCTCAGGGTTGACTCCTGGCTCGGTGCTCAAGGCTGACTCCCGGCTCCGTGCTCAGGACTGACTCCCAGCTCTATACTTAGGGCTGACTCCCGGCTCTGTGCTCAGAGCTGACTCCCAGCTCTGTGCTCAGGACTGACACCTGACTCTGTGCTCAGGCTGACTCCCGGCTCTGTGCTCAGGGCTGACTCCTGGCTCTGAGCTCAGGACTCACTCCTGGCTCTGTGCTCAGGGTTGATTCCTGGCTCGGTGCTCAGGGCTGACTCCCGGCTCCGTGCTCAGGACTGACATCTGACTCTGTGCTCAGGGCTGACTCCTAGCTCTGTGCTCAGGGCTCAGTCCCGGCTCTGTGCTCAGGGATCACTCCCATCTCAGTGTTCAGGGCTCACTCCTAGCTCTGTGCTCAGGGCTCACTCCTAGCTCTGTGCTCAGGGCTGACTCCCACCTCTGTGCTCAGGGCCGACTCCCGGCTCTTTGCTCAGGGCTGGCACCCGGCTCGGTGCTCAGGGCTGACCCCTGGCCCTGTGCTCACAGATGACTCCTGGCTCTGCACTCACAGATGACTCCTAGCTCTGTGCTCAGGGCTGACTCCTGCCTCTGTGATCACAGATAATTCCTGGCTCTGTGCTCGCAGATGACTCCTAGCTCTGTGCTCAGGGCTGACTCCAGGCTCTGAGCGCAGGACTCACTCCGAGCTCTGTGCTCAGGGTTGACTCCTGGCTCGGTGCTCAAGGCTGACTCCCGGCTCCGTGCTCAGGACTGACTCCCAGCTCTGTACTTAGGGCTGACTCCCGGCTCTGTGCTCAGAGCTGACTCCCAGCTCTGTGCTCAGGACTGACTCCCGGCTCGGTGCTCAAGGCTGACTCCTGGCTCCGTGCTCAGGGCTGACTCCCAGCTCTGTACTTAGGGCTGACTCCCGGCTCTGTGCTCAGAGCTGACTCCCAGCTCTGTGCTCAGGACTGACACCTGACTCTGTGCTCAGGCTGACTCCTGGCTCTGTGCTCAGGGCTGACTCCTGGCTCTGAGCTCAGGACTCACTCCTGGCTCTGTGCTCAGGGTTGACTCCTGGCTCGGTGCTCAGGGCTGACTCCCGGCTCCGTGCTCAGGACTGACTCACAGCTCTGTACTTAGGGCTGACTCCCGGCTTCGTGCTCAGGACTGACATCTGACTCTGTGCTCAGGGCTGACTCCTGGCTCTGTGCTCAGGGCTGACTCCTGGCTCTGTGCTCAGGGCTGACTCCTGGCTCTGTGCTCAGGGCTCAGTCCCGGCTCTGTGCTCAGGGATCACTCCCATCTCAGTGTTCAGGGATCACTCCTAGCTCTGTGCTCAGGGCTCACTCCTGACTCAGTGCTCAGGGGTCACTCCCGCCTCTATGCTCAGGCCTCACTCCTGGCAGTGCTCCGGGGACCCCCCCGGGTCCGTAGGAAACAAACCCGAGTGCCAGGCAAATACTCGATCTGCTGCCCTCTCCTGGATTCCCCAGAGGACTCTTTCCTGCAGGAACTGTGACCCAGATGGAGACAGCAAATGCCAACGGAAAGACTCTAGCCCTGGACACAATCATCTGATCTTTGTCCTGGGTTTTGGGAAGCAGAGAAAAGTCTGCACGCACTGACTTGGTGGGCTCGGATAGTGCCCGCCCCGCCCGACGCCCTTATGGCCCTGAGACCCCAGGGTGGGGGTGAGAGATGCACAGGGGTGGGGGGCTTGAAGCTATTGTGGCGATTCCCCTGGCTCTGATTCCGGCAATCCTGAAAAAGCTGCGGTGATTGGTCATGGCCCTCTGCTGGTGCGGGGGTCCGGTCCTCACTGGTCTCACCGTGGGGATGGGGGGAGTCGGGAGAGAAAACCAAGATTATTTTCTAAAAAAATTTTTAGAGGGGCTGGAGCGAGAGCCCAGCGGGGAGGGCGTTGGCCTGGCACGTGGCCGACCCGGGTTCGAATCCCGGCATCCCCTGGGGTCCCCCGAGCACTGCCAGGAGGGATTCCTGAGTGCATGATTTTTTGGTTTTTTTTGTTTTTTTTGGGGGTCCCACCCGGCGATGCTCAGGGCTGACTCCTGGCTCTGCACTCAGGAATGACTCCTGGCGGTGCTCGAGGGACCCTAGGGGATGCTGGGAATCGAACCCGGGTTGGCCACGTGCCAGGCCAACGCCCTCCCCGCTGTGCTATCGCTCTGCTCCCCTGTATGGAATCTTTAAATGCATTATTTTTTTAAAAAAATGAAAAATGAATAAATTTAAATTTTTAAATGGACTTTCATCAATTTTAAATGAATTTCTTGCGGGGTTGGGGGAGGTTGCCACCTTACTCTTGCAGAAGAAAGCTCAGGGTTGCTTCGGGGGAGGCAGAAATATCGAAATGCAAGCCGGCGCCTTCGGGAGGCGGGAATTTGCCTGGGCAGAGAACCGCAGACGTTTCAGAAAGAGCCTTTGTGGGCGGGTGGCTGAGTCCCGTGTGCTTTATGAATTCTGCACGGAAAAGAACTGCATCCTCAAGGGAGTCAGCTGTGCCCATCAGCGGCCAACTCAGCGAGAGGCATTTTGTTTGTTTGCTTAGGGCCCCCGATGCCCAGCCCAGCTCTGGCCAAACCTGTAAGAACATGTTTTTTTTTCTTTTTTCTGGTGGGGCAGAGGGGGGAGGGGGTGTCTTGTTTTTCCTGGTGGCTGTTGATGTTCACGTCAGCTCTAGGCTCAAACCAGCTGGGAACTGTGTTGGCGGGGAGCGGGCCTGACCGCCCAGCTGGGAAATATTTTCTTTCTTTTTTTTCTCTTTTTTTTTTCTTTTCTTTTTCGGTCACACCCGGCGATGCTCAGGGGTCCCTCCCGGCTCATGCACTCAGGAATGACTCCTGGTGGTGCTCGGGGGACCCCAGGGGATGCTGGGAATCGAACCCGGGTCGGCCGCGTGCCAGGCCAACGCCCTCCCCGCTGGGCTCTCGCTCCAGCCCCTGGGAAATATTTTCAAGTCATGCTAAGGAAAACATTTTCAACGTGTCATCGGGCAGCGGCTGACATTAGACTGACTGCGGAGGATGTCGATAAAGTTTTATTGGTTCTGGGGGCCGGGAGTCGGGAGAGACAGAGACATGGGGAGTCTCCTTCACCTTATAATCTCTCTCTCTCTCTCTATCTCTGTCTCTTTCCCTTCCTTCCTCTCTCTCCCTCTCTCCCTCCCCCTGTCTCTCTCCTGGCCGACCCGGGTTCGATTCCCAGCATCCCATAGGGTCCCCCGAGCACTGCCAAGTGTAATTCCTGAGTATAGAGCCGGGAGGGACCCCTGAGCATCGCCGGGCGTGACCCAGAACAAAAATTTTTTTTGGCTTTTTGGGACACACCCGGCCACGCTCAGGGCTTCCTCCTGGCTCTGCACTCAGGAATAACTCCTACCTGGCGGTGCTCGGGGGACCCTTGGGGATGCTGTGAATCGAACCCGGGCCGGCCGTGTGCCAGGCAAACACCCTCCACGCTGGGCTATGGCTCCAACCCCTGACCCAGAATAAATTGTTAAAAATTGGTTGAGGCAAAACTGCAGGAAGAGTGGTACTGGCCTTATATAACAGCAGCTGGGATTAGACCCCCACCGAGTAACTACAATGATTCTCCAAGCCCACCCAAGAGTCATCTGTGAGCAAAGAGCCAGGAGTCAGCCCTGAGCACAGAGCCGGGAGTGAGTCCTGAGCACAGAACCAGGAGTCATCCCTGAGCACATAGCTGGGAGTCAGCCCTGAGCACAGACCCGGGAGTCAACTCTGAGCCCAGAATCAGGAGGCAGCGCTGAGCACACAGTTGGGAATGAGGCCTGAGCACAGAGCCAGGAGTCAGCCACGAGCACAGACCCAGGAGTCAACTCTGAGCCCAGAACCAGGAGACGGCCTTGAGCACAGAGCCAGAAGTCAGCCCTGAGCACAGAATCGGGAGTGAAGGCTGAACACAGAGCCGGGAGTCAGCCCTGAGCACAGACTCAGGAGTCAGCCCTGAGCACAGAGCCAGGAGTCAGCCCTGAGCACCAAACCAGGAGTCATCCTTAAGCACAGAGAAGGGAGTCCGCCCTGAGCACCTCTGCTTTTCCGAAACCCAGTGGGAGATGGAAAGGGAGTTGAATGTCGGGTCCGAGAGCCTGACCACCCCTTCCGCATCTCACCTTCCGCGCCTTCCTCTGTCCCCTACAGTCCCCGAGACCGTCTGAGCTTGCAGAGCTCGGGGGCCGCACGCCTGGACCAAGCCACCCAGCCCCCCTTCGCCTGGTCTTCTCCTCTCCGCCTGCCCCGGACCCTGGACCCCATCCAAGTGTTTTCCATTTGAAATCCTTTTCTCGCTGCGTGTCTCCTGGACCCCCG